CACACATTAACGTCCCACTTGTACATAAGTGTAACAAGTTTAGGGTTCCCTTGGGTCTCCATAGAGCGCCATCATCAGGTCAAAATTTTATTTCAGCCAATAATTTGGATGCACTTTGTGTTTAGGACTAATTAGCAAACATTAGCCTGATAAAAGGCTAAATTAAGATAGCAAGTATAATAAAACATATACCTGCTAAGTGCTCACATTGTCATCAATAGCATGTTAGCATCTTGCCTCTTGCTAAAATACTGAGGACATGGGAGGACATGGCCTCGTTGTCTTCAGTTATGTCTTGGGCCTGTCGGGCAGATTGCGAGCCTCCACAGTGATCACTTTGTGAGCCAAAATAAAACTTCCTGTGCTTCCCTGTATATATATGTATGTGTGTGTGTGTGTGTCAGGTGGGCTGCTGGCTGGGTGAAGGTGTGTTTCCTCAGTGTGTGTGTGTGTGTGTGTCACCTTCACTCTCATCCTGTCTTTTTCTATCGAACATCCTCCTACTGTTTGCTTCAATCTATGCAACAGAATCCTCCCGTTCAGCTCCAGTGATTCATTTGGTTTCTCATTTTTCTCTCCCTCACACTCACTCTGTCTGCTCGTCCACGTCTGTATCTGTCTCTTGTGTTTCAGTCCTTTCTAAAAACAGAACCACGTTACCTGTACATTGTTGTATGTTTGTGTGTGTGCACGCCAGGTGCACACACACAGTTTTCTTTACTCTTTTGTAAGATATGATCATGTGGAATGCTTTGGTCTTAGTGTCATGTTGTTTGAACTTAAGTTGAACAAAAGATGATAATCAAGCAATGGAGTAAAACTTGTTACATAAGTATATAATATATAAATATATACAAATCTATATACATAAAATAAAGCCATTGGAATTTGAAATAAATCAGTGTCAATTTGTGATTTGTTTTTTAGAGTGTGTTAACCCTGCTTTTTCTCTGTCCCACTCTCTCTATGCAAAAGATGCCACCGCTTCACTCTGGCAGCTGCTGGTTCAGACCTTTACCTGCAGAGAGCTCCTCCACTGCTGCTTGACATGACTGCTTGTGGTTTGAAAAAACGCTACTTCTAACCCTGGCTAGGTGGCAGGCGAGGCTAATTTACAGACCGTACTTTGACAACACAGGGTAGAGAAGCTGGCATAACAACCGGAGGGCTGTAGGCAGCAGAGTGTCATGGAGGGGGAGTTTAAAAAGATGATCTGAGCATTTCTTCCACCAATACCCATAGGCTACCTCCTTCTGACTTCTCTAGTGTCACCAATAGATTAAAATGTTGTGTAGAGGAGCTTTTAGGTGCTGCAGGGTAAGAGGACTCTTTCACTGTCTCGAGTGGTGGTGCTTCCACAATCAAGCGCTCTGTCAAATTAAAACGTAAGTGTTGGTGGGAGCCAGTGAGACTTCATGTTGTTAGTAGTAATGACTGACAGTTGCCACAGTGTTCACAGGTTCAGATCTTTGGATATGATCAGAAACCTGATGAAAAACAAACCTGATGAAAAACCCACCTGAACTCAAACTGTGTTGATTCATTTTCCAAAACGAGACCTGATGTGAAGGGACTCGAGGTCTGAGTAATAATTTGACTTGATCCAAAATGTGGTGGAGGAGCTCAAGCATTGGACAGTAGACAAGTGTGGAGTACTGGGACAAACCTGTCTTTAGACTCTGCAGCTCCAGCTGTGGTGAAACAAGACTTCCTCTTTCTCAACTGGACTCAGCTGCTCAGTGCATCATTGCCACCATGTGGAGATGAACTGCTTTACACCTGTGCAACCTTCTGTTACTTATAAATCAGAACTGTTTATAAATGAAATTGTAGGATAAAACCATTATATTAGGAAATAAACCAAGTCGGGGACTTTAAATATTGACTTGAAACACACCTAAAGCTATGATGAAAGATGATCAGAAACCTGATGAAAAGCCTGCCTGAACTCAAACTGTGTGGATTCATTTTCCAAGACGAGACCCGATGTGAAGGGACTCGAGGTCGGACTATTTTTGGGTATTAATTGTTGAAAAGGATCAGTGTTTGTAATCATGCACAAAGCACACAGAGATGGACATGGTGCACTTACAGTACAGATAAGCAGTGGTGGACAGTAACAAAGTACACTTATTCATGTATCGTTCTTAAGGATAATTTTCGTGCATCTGTACTTTACTTGAACTGTTCCAGTTTCTGCTACTTTCTACTTTGACTTCGTTGCATTTCAGAGGCAGTGTAAGAACTGTAGCTTTTAGTGCACTGCATTTATTTGACAACTTTAGCTATATTTCTGAGTCAGAGGAATAAAACAAAATACAGTATAATCATAAGACTTTATTGATCCCTGTTGGGAGATTCATACACTTCAAGTTATAAGTATATAAGGAAGTTAACATCTTCATCTTCAAACACTTTTAGCAGCTGAAACGTTAGAGATAAACACAATAATGCATCAGTATTTGTAATCCAATAATATGATACACATTAATGTGAAATGTGCCATTCTGCATAATTAGTACTTTTATTTTGGGTACTTTAAGCATATTTTGATGCTGATGCTTCTGTGCTTTTTCTCAAGTAACATTTTGAATGCAGCACTTTTACTTGTAACACAATACTTTGCTCTCTGGTATTGTTAACTAAGGAGGTGAGTACTTTTTCCAGCACTGTTACAGTTGTAAGAAAGTGGACAAATAGGTTTTATTTTTGAGTTTGTGAGCAGGAGCAAAGTTGAGAGAATTATATTTTGTGCTTCACTTTAGTTCAAAACTTCACCAGCAGGTTGATCAATACAGACCCTGAGTTTATCTGTAGAACTAAATTTAAATAACATGACCTGGACCTGTGAGAAATGTTTCAACCCCATCTGCGTTTCCTTTTCCTCCTTCTCTGTCCATCTCCACTTTCTCTGAATCACTTCACACCACCAGGCCTTTAATGGACTCCCCGCACCAGCCTCTGACGGCGGCCTACATTTCTCACTGAGGGAAACTCGCCCTGGATGCTGTTGTCAAGACGACTGTGTTTCTAACGGTGACTGTGGCGACATCGTGGGTTCGTTAGTGTTGGGGTGGTGGTCGTATTGTCGAAGAGCTGGAGAAGAGCTCCAGGCAACAAGCATTTTAACTACTGACTGAGTGAGTTTGGAGAAGTTTCAGCCTGAACTGACGACAAACTGCTGATGCTCAGTTCATCCACAGTTCCTGTGGCTGCGCCCTCAACATCAGTAAAACCATTCAGCCCCATGTTCCTCTAGATTTCTCTTTGCCAGATGCCAGAATCTTTCAGAGAGGAGCAGGGGAAGATAAAACCAGAAAATAGAAAAATAATAATCCCTTGATTGAATTTCACCCTCCTTTTCAAAAGACCTGATTATGTAAAGAGCATCAGCGAGTGTGTAACCCTCCTCCACCGTCACACTGAGGTGCAGGAGGCTGCTTGGGATTGTGTTAACATAAATAACTTGGAAAGTGTCTGATGTTTTCTCTCTGCAGAATCAAAATCAGATGTCACAGAGATGATGATGCTGACGTTTGTTTCATCAGCAAATCACACGCCCCACCCTGTGGTCTGAACGTGTGTGTGTGTGTGTGTGTGTGTGTGTGTGTGTGTGTGTCAACTATAAGAGATCTGGAGGTCGAACCTGAAGTCAGCTTATTGTCTGATCACCGGAGGAGCTCCTGTCACCAACAGGGACCATGTAAGTAGTCTATCTTATGAAGAGTGTCATAATTTAACAAAGTGTTAGAGTCTTTATTTTTAATTTCAAGATATTTTTATGTCCGTTTTTCTTTTTGTTTTACTTTTATAATCGGTGTTTCCTCCTTGTCTGTTAGAGGTTACCTCTGCTAACAAACTGAGGAAATGTTTGGTTTGATGTTTAACTTTTATTTTTAACTTCAGGCAACAGAACGGCTACATTTATGATCATTATTTTTTTAAGAGCTAAAATTGATAATAAATGCTAAAGTGCCAAATTAAGCAATAGCAAATTAAAGTAATACACATTTGGAAATGTTCACAATGTTGCTTTAAGATTTAAGTGTTTTTCTTTTCCATTTCAACGAGTTGGCTCAATCAATCCGCCTACTTGACACTCGGATCTACAAATACATACAGATTCACAGTCAGGTAGTCCAAAGGTAGAAATGTGAAGTCCATGGGTTTTAATTTGAGTGATCTCCCATCAAGAATCTGACTATTGACGATCAGGCACTTGAAAGAAGACGGCTATGAAAGGTTTGTTTCTCAGCTCTGCCAGTATGGATTTGGTTCAGTGCAGAAAGGCACAACTCAGCTTAACGTGTATTTAAGTCAGGGGAAAAAATGCTGAGCATCGGCACACTGAAGTAAAGATCCTAACATCTTATTGAACTGAGAAAAGGCAACATTTGACTCTAATATGTTCCATTTGGACAAATGGCCAAAATGATTCAAGAAAAAACAGTAATTGGGCACAAATATGATTACATTCGGCTGATGTTATACCCAGTGACTGAATAGAAAACATGCAATAATACAAGACCCCAGGTCCTCCTACAATACCAGAAACATTGATAGAAATGTTGCTGCACCTGTTTTTGCTGCACCTGCAGAAAACAGCACACCAGACAGTGTCCACGGGGCACAGAGTTCACTGTCAGGCTTTTATTCTGTAGTTAGTCTTACAAACTGTGTATTTTCTGGCTGATTGCAGCATTGATCGACTCAATCTCAGTCATTTACTGTTGATTTACTGTTCCCGTTCAGGTGCTAAGTAGTCCATTTGTGTTTTGTCATTATTTATTGACAAATGTGTTTGCAAAAATTGCAAAATTGAAGGAAGTGGCATCTGAAGTTTTACATTTTTTGGTCATGAAATGTTTGTCATGAAGTAAACTTGTATATCGGCAGCTAAAGTCGTATTTTATGTTTTATGCATTGTTATTATTAAGTCAATAATTAACCTGGGGATGGGGACTCCATAGGGCTGCTAGATAAGTCTGAACCCAGTCGAACTGGCCACAACCAGTGGATATAGACAACCAGCAACGACAAACTGCAATTAGAGTTTTTTTTAAAGGGTCATGAACCAAAACGGTTGGGAACTTGTGGTCCATCTAACAAAATGGATGCTCCCTGTTCTTTTATTCTTTAAATGACAAGTTTTGATTGGAATGTTTCTTGCTGTTTTGTCACAGAAGATGCAGGTGTCCCACAGACCTGTGCGGTGGCTCACTGCCATGCTTCTTGTCATCTTTACAACTGGCCAGTGTCAACAGGACGAGAGGTAAGACAGCTCTTTGTTCCTTAATTCAGTGCTTTATATGGCAGTAGGAAAATTTCTGTGTGCATCAGGCGACATTTTCAAATGCATGTAAATGCAGAATCATGGCAAAACAAAAACAAAATGTCCACAAAAACACATCTCATGCACCCAGTCAAAACCACTACATCCCCGTTTAACTCGGTGTGTGGCTGCATGTGCTGCAAAACAACTTTAATTCTGTTATTATACAATATTAAAGCAATGAAATTATCACAGTACACATTTGAGCTGAAAGGGACTATAACAATATGAGAAAGTGTTGCTCTGGTGAAAAAGCATGATGAGCATGGAGGTTTTACATGTCTGGTGATGTTTTTGAAATTGCACAGCTTGACCCCCTGAAAATGTCATAAACTGCAGTTCAAACCACACCAATTAGATAGATGATAGATGGCTAATTTTAATGTCATAATTCAGTATTGATTAAATTTCACAGTTGTTTCCATGAATTTATCTTGAATCTGTGTATTGGGATAAGATGTCTGACTTCTTAGGACTGACTGGATTGCGAGGATGTACTGATCTTGCCTTACCGACCTTTCCCACTCTCTTCCACTCTCTTCCCTGTCTCCCTGCAGTCGCCGAGCTGTGACCGAACACCAGCTGATGCATGATCGTGGCCGAAACATCCAGAGTCTCAAGAGACTCATCTGGCTGTCCAGTGCCATCGAGGGGCTCCACACCGCCCAGAGTCGCTCTGCTGCTTTCAACCCTACAAAGGTCCTGGATCTGGCTCTGAATCCAGAGCTGGTCCCTGCTGCTGGGAGTCCCCTGCCCACCAGGGTGCAGAGCCACCTGAGAGACTCTTTCAGCCCTTACCTGACTCAAATGCCAGACAGAGAGTCCTAACATCACAATGATGCAATGAAGCATGAAGCTACTCTACACAGACATTTGAAAATTGTATAAATGTAGCTACAGAGTAAAAAGTAGAGTACAATTTTAGTTTGGATCATTTATTTGAGTTTCAGATGCCTGAAGTTGGTTGGACTGGCCATAGAAACAATTTTTTTTGTTTGTTTTAACAACAACAACAAAAACGTTTTTTAGCTTGAGGTCAGTTCACAATTTTAATAAACTTTCTTCCTGCAAAATAGAGCAAGACTAAGACATGATTTTTCAACTTACATGTATAAAACTTTGCAAAAACCACTGTTGTTGTTTTTACACAATGTTGGTTACACACTAAAATTGGTAAAATTAATCATATATTCTACCTAGCTTTGTTTAACGTCGACCGGCACAGTCAATGGAAATAAATCAATAGAGTCACTGATACACTGTGTTTGGAAATCCCAGCACGTCTGGCCACATCCCACACTGCCAGACCGTAACTGCAGCACTTTCATACACAGTTTATTTATAAGCCAGTGCGACCTTAC